AGACTCGATTCAAAAGGCGTCAGTTTAAATGTGGTGTAAATTTGGTTCCATTCAAGATACTGGTGCCATCAAAATTAATTTTTAAACTTTGGAGATTTTTTTCGTGGTTTGTTATTTTTTCATTTTACACCCCTAAAGACGATTTCTGCGCAATCAGTTGATATATTGGAATGAGAGTTGATAAAAAGGCTTCAATTTGCTTGTTGCGTAAATTTGGTTCCATTCATGACACTGGTATCATCAAAATTAATTTTTAAACATGGAAGTGTTTCTGCGGGTTTTTTATTTTTACATCTTAGATTTCTAAAGACGATTTCCGAGCAATCAGTTGAGATGTTGGAATGACAGTTACTAGACTCGATTCAAAAGGCTTCAGTTTAAATATGGTGTAAATTTGGTTCCATTAAGAAAACTGGTGCCATCAGAATGAATTTTTAAGCTTTGAAGTGTTTTTGCGCGTTTTCTCACTTTTACATCATACACTTCTAAAGACGACTTCTTCGCCAATCAGTGGAGGTATCGGAATGAGGGCCCGTTTTCTCTGTGTTTGTTACATGCGAATACATGTTTGATCCTATCTCAATCTATGTGCTTAACAGGAAAATCTAATCCTAAGTTAAGTAACATCGGAGCATTTCTGTGGAAAAAACCCGATGACTATCTTCACTGTACCTACCAGACAATGCAGCATTCAGTGTTAAAACGCTTAATCTAAGACAGTGGGTCAGGTCAAGAATAAATCACCACAATGGTGGATGAACGTTGCGTAACAGTCAACGTTTCTATGATTGATCGATGTAACCGACGGTCCCTCAGGGCTGAATCTCCACTTTTTGCTTAAATGATTAACAACTGACTCGCTAACCTATTGAGGAACTGATGTGAAATCGCCTAATGAGAATTATGGCCAATAAATGGGTCAACTGAGTTCTTCTGAACGGTTATGCTACTATTGTCCGTTTCCTACTGAAGATAGTGCGTATTTCAGCTAATTACATTAACATTTACATGACGCAACCCACTAAATGAAACAATTTGACCGGATAACATCTAAGTAGTAAGTAGGTGTGTTTAAGACCGCCACTGGCCATTCCCGAGATGAGCGCCGCTACCTGAATAATCCGTTCTTGCATCAAGCGAATTTGCATCCAAACACTGTCTAGATGTGCGTTTTTTCCTTCTTTCTTTCGTTGATGAATCCGATGTGCAATCACGGTGGGGAATGTCTTTCTATAAATACCAAAAGCAATCCGCAGATTCATTAAAGTTGTGCTTTATTGGTACAGAGCAACATCAAAGATGATTCGCCTTGTAAGTACTTTCTTCTTATTATTTTTTGGGTTTTTCCTGCAGCAAATGCATTGAAACTGAGATTTTGAGTGAAGTATTATTTTCATTTAAATGGGACCTTTAGCATCTACCTGATTTCTGCACTTTTGCACCCTTAAACAAGAAGCCTTTGTTGATTGGTGTGCGAAATTTCCGCTAGTTCTGGCAAACCCGCTAATTTTTTAGAACCTTTGAAGCAATCAGTTTTGCGGCAACGTTGCCCAAAAGTGCTTGTCCCTAGTTAAAAACTTGCAGCTTCTAAAGTGAACTCGGTAGAATCGTGAGCTTCTAAGGACTTATAGAAGAGTTCTTTGGTCACAACTGTTTGAAATTCCAGTCGATTTCGATGTCTACTGGACTTATAGAAAATGGCGACATTTTCTAAAAGATAAAAAAATTCAACTTTTGAATGCTTGTAGAAGAAACTTTTGTTTCTAAGCCTGCGAAATTTCAGCTGATTCAGGCGGCGCATGGATTTTCCAGAAATTTTTTCCAGAACATTTTCTTGACTTTCTAGAGACCTTCAGCAATCAGAAATGTGGTCCAAAGGTACACTTCGAAACTTTAAACTTTCAAACACTTACAGATAAAGCCTTGGCTAATGAAAGTGCCAAACCTTAGCTTAGATTACTCGTTGAATTTATAGGAACTAGAAAACTTTTAGCAAGCGAGAAATGAACCCAAAAAGTCCGCCTCCGTACTTAAAAATTCACAGCTTCTGAACGGGAAAGTACGGAATTTGAAGTTTTGGCCCTCTTATAGAATAAGCCTTTGTTCATCAACGTGTAAAATTTCGGTTTATTCCGACAACTTATAAATGTTTTAGAAACTTTCAAACTTTCAGTAATCAGAAAACTTGTGCAGCGGTACACATCTAAACGTAAAAAACCACAGCTCTTAAACAGGAAGTTATACAATTTTCAAGTTTCAAACACTTGGAGATGAAGCTTTGTTTAATAAATGTGCGAAACAACAGCTTATTCAGATTACTCGTTAATTTTCTAGATTTTCTAGAAACTTTTAGCAAGTCAGAAATAAAGCCCTAAAAGTGCGCGTCCGTAATTGAAAAATCGCAGCTTCTGAACTGGACCCGACGGAACTTTACGCCTTTGCACTCTTATAGAGGACGCTTTTTTCATAAACTTTTTTGTCTGATTCCGATCACTCGTTGATTTAAACTGAAAGTCGCTGCAACTTTGAACTTACCAACACTTATAGAAGAATCTAATTTTTTATCTATCTACATTTATAAGTTTTAATATCTTCTTCTACTTTTAACTCATTTTTCCAAGTGATTTTTCACGTTACACAGTTACAACTACCTGCATTTTTCAACTGAAAAATTCATCATCACTTTCACTTTTCGCCTTTTTAATGTGAACAATGCGCGTCTTTGATATCTCACATTATCGGCTGGCACCAATTTCTCTCTAACGTTTTTCGTTATTTCTTCATATCTTCGTGTCTGGTCTTTAGACGAATGTTGTAAATTTAATTAGCTTTTCGCTGTTAAGTAAAATTGGACAACAAAAGTGCTGTGAAAAAATCGCCTTCTGAACGTTTTTTGGTTCCAAATGTTAGACAAGTATAGCAAAAAATCGGTTTTAGGCCCAATAATGCCAGTGTGGAAATTATTGCAAGATTTTGGAGAAATTCAGTAGAAAAATGAACTTTTCTGCTTCGGCTTGCAAAAGTGACCAGAAAATTTGGATCATTTAATCCTTGCGAACTATTCACTTCGGTTCCTTCGTCGTTTCCACAATGAGCTTATTTGCAACATAATTTTCCGTTTTCTTATAGATTGATGAAGAGCATTTTGGTATTACAAACCTAAAACCATTAAGAATTCTCCATGATTTAAGTTCTTCTGAGTAGTTCCTATTATTTTTTGCCAGGATTTTGTGCGGAAAGTAGAGGAAATTTGGGAAAATTCCAATTCAGGAACCTTCTAGTAATTTCCTCCAATGTTAATGTTAAAACCCTGTTCGATTTCGAAAATTTGTACAATTTCCAATTTCCAAAAAGTGAATAATGTGTGAAATTTCATTTGATTCTAATGGCTCTTTGAGTTTCCAGAAAATGTGGTACTTTTTGTTAGTCAAAAATGGGGGGCAAAAGTGCGCGTTTGCCATTAAAAAATTCTCAGTTCCAAAATTGGGGGCTGTCGAATGCGCACTTACAGAACACGCCTTTGTCTATAACCGTGCAAAATTTCATTTGATTCCAATCACTCGTTAATTTTCTAGAAATTTTCAAACTCTCATTAAGTCAGAAATGCGACACAAAAGGTGCACATCTGTACTTAAAAAATCATAACTGCTAAACTGGACGCGATAAAATGCGCAACTTTTAGGCACTTAGAGACAAATCCACTGCTAATACGCATACGAAACTTCAGCTTGTTCTAATGCCCCATTCATTTTCAATAAATTCAAGAAATATGGGCGAAATTTCTCTTTAACATTTTTCATAACTTCTTTTAATGAAATTTGTATACTAAATTAGCTCTTCTTAGCTTATTTGCAATTAACTTTGCACCTCCAGAACTTCTGCACATCCTCGAAAATCCAGCAAAAAAACCTCACGGTTGAGTTGAGGTTGAGAGGAATCAGCTCTTCACAAGGTTGATTAAAACACTTTCACAACGACAGCCGAAAGGTGAATAAGACAATTAGGAAATATGGTGTAGGCACAATCCGCAAAAAAGATTAAAATGGAATTCCTGCAAATATCAGCCAATCAATTAGATGACGAATCATCACGAAGTTGCCATTTTAGCATGCGAATGGCATCGGCTATTTTTATTTTCCCCCTATTCTCAAGGTTTTCATAATTACAGACATTAAAACAATGCCAAAACATCGATATGCGTTACTCGACTATGCACTAAACTAAGCCATTTTTTACTAATCTAAATTAACTCAAAAACTTACAGAAACTTAAAGCTTTTTAATACTTTTTCACGTCGTCAACAAATGCAGATATGGAGGATTTACATCGACCCTTACAAGAAACTAACTGCTACCACAATTGCAAAATTTGGTGAAAATGAAATGGAAAACTCAATAAAACCAGAGGACTGAAAAGCAGATGCCCAAAGAAGGTTCTTGAAGGTTTTTGAGACGGAAGAGAGGTGGAACAATCTGAGGCCTAAAATGCCACAAACGATGAAGAAACTACCTCATTCAGAGGCAGAAAATGACAGAAATTGAGAAGAGTTTATTTCTTCATGGTCTTCATATTCCAGATCGAGTTCCTCCAAGCTTAAACTTTCTGATTTTGATATTTTTTGAGATTGATTGAGATTTTGTCCTTCGTTTCTTCTGGCTTTCTTGGCCTTTTTTTGCACCAATTCCTGAGATTCCTTTTCAGGTCTGTTGCTGTGACTTTAGGGATTTTTTCCTCGGAAACTTCACCATCAGCACGTCCTCATGTGGCTTTATAAGAATTTTGGCAACTTTACTCTTCACTTTTGTGACTGTTTCAGTTCCTTTATTTTTTTCTTTTTCCTCAATTTGCACTGCCGGTGTTTCCGTGTGGGCTTCTTGGTCTGTTTGATCTTTAATCTTTGTCTTCAGTGTTTTTTAAATTTTAATAGCCCACCTTCATCTATTGCCGTAGTTTCCCCTGTCGGCTTTTCTACTTTGGGAATATGTGTTGATATTTTTACTTACTTCCTGCTGCTTAACCTTTTCTTTATTCGCTTCATTGTTAGATAAAATTTTCATGCCGAAGACTGSATTGCATTGCCAATTCCAACTTTAAATACTTCATATTTTTTATTTTTTTATGAAACTTTAAAATTTAGGGAAGCAATAAAGGCTCGAAGGATGAATATACTTCAAAATTGATCGTTCATTGCCTTAAAATGCTTGCCAATTCTCGGGATTTTTTCAGTTTGAAGATGTTAAAAAGCTTGTAATAAGTTTTTCAAAAATTCATCATGCACCTATTTTGAGGATCAGCTGGAAATGCGGGTTTAGGCGCATTTTTGGAGAGAAACCATTGCTCTATTGGCTCTGCAAACGTGAATTTCCTTTGCTTTCTCCGCGATTCTACGGCTCCCTTCAAGTTTCAAGGTTTGAGCACGCTTTCGAATAATTTTTCAACAAATTCCCATTTAAATTGAGGATTCGCTCGAGAGGTGCATTTGACACAGTTAGATAGAGCAAACTTCGCTCTATTCATACTGAAAGCGACAGTTACCTGTACATTTTTCCCAATTTTTGCGACTTTTTTGCTCCTGTTTTGTSTTCTCCAGGTTCTTACTTYCTGTCTTCCTTTAACATTGTCAACAAACAAACATATTGTCTTGTTTTTGTCCCTGTTTAAATATTTTGTTTTCAGCTCAACTTTATTTGCTACATCTTTCCCTTCCTGCGTTTTTATTCATCTGAGGGCTTCGTATATTACTTTTCTTCAAAACTCTCGATTTCATGTTTCTTCTTCATTTGATTTCCGTTCTTTCTGATGTATTTTTGTATTTCAAACGCTGGGGCACTTTTCTTCCTCTTGTTTCTTAAGGGCAACAAAAGAGAAATTGATACACTTTTCTTTTCAATTTCCTTGAACTTCAACTGATTTCCTCAGATGTTTTCTGTCTTCGGCTTTTTCGTCTACCTGTTGTGCCTTCCTCCTTCTAATGCAGTTTTTCCTGTCCTTTCCATACACGTTTTGTTCTGATTCATGATCAGTCAGTTTCATTTTCTCAATTGTT